GGGGGGGGGGGGGGGGGGGGGGGGGGGGGGGGGGTAGGTCAGTTTCTCCATGGAATACGTCCATCTACTGAATGAAGTTTTGAGGGTCACACTTCAGTCAGTTTCTTGTGATTACCAAATTTTTTGAAGATAAGTTTCTGTGCCAGTGACTGGTGGGCGCACTGTATTTTTAGGTCAAAATCCCTTGGTACTTGCAGTCATTTACGCATAGGCCTCTGAATGAACTGTAAACTACAATTCCAAGATGCAAATGTTGTTTTGTGTGGATCGGGACACCTCACTGGGATAAACTCTTGATGATGTCTATTCGGGTTTAATTGTTTTGTACATGAATTGTACTATACAAATAAATGTTTTAAAAATGTTGATATTGTTTTTAATGATTAATTTAAGTTGTTTTCATAGTTGCAGATCATATTCAAGAATATTAACCTCCTCCAGGAAAAAAGATCTGTTGAGATTTTAGGAACAAAAGCTGAGGTCCTTGTTTTATCCCTTTGTATAGATTTTGAGGCAGTGCCTGGAGCTTGACTTCATCAAGTCCCGTCAAGCAGCCAGTCCAGTTCAGGTCGCGCTGTACTATGAAAGCTTGTGTCCCGGGTGCAGGCTTTTCCTTACAGAGATGCTTTTTCCTACCTGGGTCATGTTGAAAGACATCATGTCCGTTACTCTGGTGCCCTATGGCAATGCACAGGTAAGCATGTACTGAGATTCTTAGGTATACAACAAAATTACAAATTTATAGTGCTGTACATCTTAAAATTAGAAATTAGATTTTACAAGACTAACGATTTTGGAAACCAAAAAAAACAAACATATTGAACAATTACATTTCCCTGTTTCAAGATTTTGGGTTCTATTTCAAATATGAATTTGTTTGATTTGAAAACATCCAGGAGAAGCCTGATGGACAAAAGTATCAATTTGAGTGCCAGCATGGGGAAAAGGAATGTCTGGGCAACATGATTGAGGTAATCTACAGATTGAAAACACAGTGCTGAAGATGGAAAATACTGTTAAAGCAAACATCTATTTAGATATTGATATTATTTTGTCCTGCTGTGTAATATGGACATTTTTCTTACCAGACGTGCCTTCTGAACATGACTGATATGGCTTTCCCAATCATCTTCTGTATGGAATCCTCCACTGATGTAATTAGCGCAGCTGACAGTGTAAGAAAGTTTGTGTGTGTATGCGTGTGTGTGTACAATTGTGTACAATTAACCAGTCATTTGACTGGTGCATGCTTCTTTCTGCTGGTGTATTCCTGTTTTCAAACATGTGTTTTCTTTCTTTTCTTTAAACAGTGTGTGGAACTTTATGCCCCTGAGTTGAGCATGGACAAATTAAAGAGCTGTGTAGATGGGGATCTGGGCAACAAGTTGATGCATCAGAATGCCCTGCAAACAAGAGCTCTTAATCCTCCACACCAGTATGTGCCCTGGGTGACCATTAATGGGGTAGGACTTCAGTACAATTAGCAGCACATCCTCTACAACCTAATGGAAATCTGTGAGGGCAAAATATTGTCAACTGAAACCATAAATCATCTGCTCAGAACAAAAAAAGGTTCATTCTATTATTTCAAGGGGTTCTTCCTGGTTGCAGTTACATTTGTAGCACCTTCTTGAATGGAGTTACAAGACAGTTGTGTTCAAACTGCTGTCTACAAGTTGCAGGCTACTGATTGGATAGGGTGTGATGTAATTGGATGAGTCATGATAGCCACTCCCTCACACATGGCAACAGCAGTTGGTGATTTTCTTATTTTTCTGATCATCAATGGGATAAATGCCTACACTAAAACTTATACTGAGATCCAACAACAAGGTGCTGCATCAGCGCACTGTTATGACCCCACAAACAACCTCTGTCGAGTTGAGCTGTTTTGATGCATTCACCTCTTTCTTACCTTAAATAATGTTTCCTCTCTCTCTCTATTTTTTACTTCTGTTGTGCATGTTTTCATTATTTATAGGAACATACCGAAGACCTGCAGGATAAAGCCCTGTCCTCTTTATTTCTTCTGGTCTGCAACATGTATAAGGTACACTCAAAGCTGTGTTTATGGTGTAGATGGCTGATTTAGTAATTCTTTTGACTATATACCCTACCTAAAACATGTTATGCTCTTTTCAGGGCTCCAAACCTCCTGCCTGTGGAGGGACTCCCAGACACTTCAAAAGTTTCTGTCAGAGTGGGTGAAGAACAGTTTGGGAAAAAATCCCCTGGCTAGCTTTGTTGCAATCAACATTCCATAACAATTGTGTGGTTACCAAACAAATAACATTGACTTGAAGATGTCTCTCTTTTGCTTTACTGCATTTTGTAATTCACAGAGTAAATAGTTACTTTAAACATAAATTACAATGTTGTATTTCTAAATTATAAATACATTTTTACCATAAAGCATGACACTGTACGTTATTTACACTAATTGATTTGTACTGTACAAATACATAAATCTTTTAGTTACAGTTAGATGGCACCATATCTCAAAACTTATTTAGCCAATTGATATCACAAGTTTTTAGGATTAAAGTAGCACTGATTTGCACATGAGTTAGAAGTAGTCATGTTCCACAATTTTTTTGTTTTTTCAATGAAATTTCTTTATTACATATTTTTCCTTTGAGATATTTTCACAGTCAATAATTTTGAGAATATTGTTTATAAATGTAATTGCAATGTATGTTTAATACATTACATCAAAGTCGATAAACAAAGTACAGAGGAACACTATGAAAAAGTCCACCATCTTAACTGACATTATACTTTGTTTTGTATTTGGCTTTTAAACCTGAATGCATGCGGGTATGCAGAAAAAGCTGGCAGGGTCAATAAAGTTTATGTTAGACAAGCTGTTGTTATGTAAGACAAACTCATATCTTGGTAAAATGTCAAGGCTTGACAGCCTGGTTATAATCTGTATAATGTAGAGATTATAGGCATTATTTTAATCAAAAACAGTGTCTAGCTGAACCAGAAGGTCTGAATGTACGAGATCCAAAGATTTTAGAATCAGATAAACACACATGACCAACGCCTTGCTATGCAAGCGGCTCTCCTGCTTTAATCTCACTCCCAGCTACAGTTGCATCTGTATTCTTTCCTGTTTCAGGTTGGCCGTCTGAATCAACATTCCATAGCATTCATCTTTTATAGGTCTTAAGTTTCAGTCTGAGAAATACCAGCATGGAGTTCAACCAAAAACACTGCAATGAATGTTAAGTGTTTATCAGTGAACAAACTGACAGCTGAGGGTTCAAAAGAGGCGGGGAAATGGTTACATAGTGAGTGACAACCCAAGGAAGCGTTGGTGCCACAGACTGCCTCATATCTGATCGTAAATGAAGTTCCTGTATCCTCCTCTTTGGTATTTCCTTCCCAGTTCTCTTGTTCCTTGGATAAAGTAGCTGAAAGTATGCGGAGAAATAATTCAAAATTTTTCAACTTCACAGAGGTAAGAATAATTAATTAAGCTTAAAAATACTGAAATTGAACAACTTTACAAAATACCCATGATTGTCATTTCTTTTTTGGGAAGTTAACTTATTTCATGCCAGCAATCAAACTAAAATCAAAATTGGAACATGTGTCATCTATCTGAATTTTAAATGATACTATATGCTTTTTGCCAATACCAAGCTGTAGCGAAGATGATTGATTGTTGTTTGTTCAGATAATAATACTGAAAATCAAACATAGTAAGGAATACAAAATCATGTTTTATCTTAAATGTTATCTCATAAAATTAACAGTTATATTTCTTGGTCATCCTGGTCAGAAAATGTTCAAAAGGTAACTTGACAAATGTGTCTACATTTGAAAATAGAAAGGTGAAACATACAAACAAATTAAACAAAAGGGTCTTGGGATGCAGAAGAAAATAAAGACTATCTGAATCCCTTCAACTTATGCCCCAAGGGCTAAATACCACAAAGCATATCCTTATGTGAAATGTCTTTTGTGTCTAAGGCAATCGTGCGTGGATCACAGGACCTTAAATCAGCTAGAATTTCCAGAATTAATGCCTAAAAGGCTTCAGAGGGCTCATGCACTGCTTGTCACATATTTGCAACAACATTAAAATATATGTGTGTAGCTAACCTTTTTATTTTCTTTGATATCCTTTCTATTTTTGTAATTCAAAGATTCCTATATATTTACTGCCACTAATCCAGAGTACATGCATCTTTTCACATACTTAGTTTATTTTGGAATATATACGATTCCAAATAATCACCAAAGTTAACATTTTGCCACTATGAATTTGGAGTTCTAAAAACAAAATATCTATCTTTGTGAGCCATAAACAAATCCATAAAGAATGGTGAAAATATCCGTTCTGTGTACATAAAACGTTTGGAAATAATTGCATGTAAATAACTATGTCTATCTCTTTTGTATCCGTTGTATTATTCGGTGTTGTATGAAGTATATAGAGAAACAAGGATGCCATAGAATATATAATATATTGAAATACAGATGCTTTAAGTTGAATAAACTTTTTATTTCAAGACAGAAATTTCCTCTCTAAGAATCAGATACATTTCAGGTGCAGACTGGCAGTATGAACAAGTCACGTGAATTGTCATATTGTAATCCACATGTTCTATCAAATTCAGAGACAGTGGGATTCTTCTAAGTTGGCCTCAGGCAGTGAACCCACCCAAGACTCTGAAATCAGATGTGCTGTGAAGAGGATTTTCACAGGCAACCTGCAGTTGCCGAAGCTCTCCTGCAGACCCACCACACAAGAAGGACCTAAGGATGTGACCCAGTTTGTCCCTGCATCCCCAACCATAAAACACTCCAGGAGCCTGGGGACCCTGACCAGCTGCATATCCACAGCCTTGTAAGTCAAAATGATGGGATGCTCAATATGATATATGCAAGATGTACATACCAGTAATTGAACTTAGAGCTTCCAACTTTTAGGAACAATGTGCTGTACTGTACAGCACATTGTACTGTACTGTACATTGGATGTACTGTATAATACATTGTCCCTTAAAGTACAGTTGTGTTCGAAATAATAGCAGTGCCTCGACAGCAGCAAGAAAATCACTGGTTTTATTAACATGTCAAACTCTATACCCCAGATAAGTTTCTGGGGGGTAAAATAAAGGTATAGAAAACCAACAAACCCAACAGGACAGCCATGCATACTGTGGATTCTGTGAAATTGAATGATTAACTGAAAAGGGTGTGTTCAAAAAAATAGCAGTGGTGAGTTCAATTAGAGAGGGCATCAATTAGGGAGGGTATTCTGGGAAAAAAGGGTGTTAACAGGTGATCCGTATTTAAGGATCAAGACAACTGGCATGCTGGCTGTGCATTTGTCCTGAAAAAACAAGGAAAATGGGTCGTTCAAGACACTGTTCTGAAGATGAGCGTTTCCTAATAAAAAAATTGATTAAAGAAGGGAAAACATACAAAGAGGTGCAGAAAATCATTGGCTGTTCAGCTAAAATGATCTCAAATGCCCTGAAATGGGAGCAAAAAACTGAAAAACGAGGAAGAAAAAGAAAGACAACCCCTCGAATGGACAGAAGAATAGCCAAACTGGCGAAGACTCAGCCAATGATGGGATCCAAGAGGATCAAGCAAGACCTTCAGTTGACAGTGAGTACTGTGACAATCAGAAGACGTCTTACTGAGGTTAACCTTCCAGCAAGAAGCCCCCGCAAAGTCCCACTGCTGAGAAAAAGACATGTGCAGAAGCGTTTACAATTTGCCAAAGAGCACATTGACTGGCCTGAAAAGAAATGGCATAATATCTTGTGGACAGATGAAAGCAAGATTGTTCTTTTTGGGTCTAAGGGTCACAGGCAGTATGTCAGACGCCCTGCAAACACAGAATTCAAGCCACAGTACTCACTGAAGACCATTAAGCATGGTGGTGCAAGCATCATGATATGGGGATGTTTTTCATACTATGGTGTTGGTCCGATTCACCGCATACAAGGGATCATGGATCAGTTCCAGTACATCAGGATCCTGGAAGAGGTCATGCTGCCATATGCTGAGGAGGAAATGCCTTTGAGGTGGACCTTTCAACAGGATAATGACCCCAAACACACCAGCAAGCGAGCAAAAGCATGGTTCCAGATGAACAAGATTCAACTGATGGAGTGGCCAGCACAATCCCCGGACCTTAATCCCATTGAAAACTTGTGGGCTGACATAAAAAGTGCAGTGCATGAGGCAAAACCAAGAAACGCTGAGGAATTGTGGAATACAGTGCAATTATCCTGGGCTGCAATACCTGTGGAACGATGCCAGAAGTTGGTTGACTCCATGCACCACAGATGTGAAGCAGTCATCAGAAACCGTGGTTTTATAACAAAATATTAGTTTAGGATACTCAGCTAGGTTCACTTATCAAGAATTTCTTTGTTTGTACAGTACATTTTTGAGTTTCCAAGGAAAGATGGCAACACTGCTATTCTTTTGAACATGCCATTTCTTACTTTATTTGAAATATTATTATTATTATTTTAGTTTTGATGACTTTGCGCAATTGTTTTGCTTTGGAATAGAATGTACTGTGTCCCCAATGTATCTGTGTTCATTAAAGTACAATTTCTTTGAAGAATTTTGACATTTACTCATTTTTCTAAAGGCACTGCTATTATTTCGAACACAACTGTATAAGCCACATCCCAGGAGTTCCTTTTCTATTTTCTGAACAAAAAAGTAGTCAATTGTTTGAGATTGATGCTTTAAAATGATTTTGTCCCTATTAATGCTTCACCCTTTGGAGTCTACCAATTAAGATTGTAGGGTTGTCACTGCTGTATTTCATTGATTAGTCACTGATTAGTCATTGATTAGTTTACAGCTCAATTTATGTAGGAGGAACTTTATCTATATCCTCAGCTTTTGATTCAACAAAAACTGGTGCCTATGTCATTATTCTTCAAGCTGAACAATTAGTGATACAACAGGTGTAATGCAAAGAAAGGCCATTAGCGTTGTTGCCCAAATAACTTTCCAGCTGCTGTTGGAAATATAACAGTGGGTTTTTTACCTCTCTTCTTTCCGCTGAACGTGTAAATCCATGTGTGTGCACGAGTGGATGTGCAAACACTACCATCATTATCTTTGCCTCGTGTTTTGGGAATCCAGCCTGACTCGTTTTAGTACACTGGTACATGTAGCACGTGTCAGACGTGATCAGATATGGCTGATATGAGCTGCACTGTAGGTACAATTGTCTTGATGTTTTCAGGTTGTCATATCTGGTTTTCATAAACATGACATTTGGGACTACTGAGTCTGTTTTTTTCCCCAGCTTTTACACAAACACTGATGATCACAAGCTACTGTAATCTCACCAAACAGATCTTTGTCTATGACTCAGTAACCTACCCCAGCTAACAACAGGCGAGAGGCATGGTACACCCTGAACAGGTCACCAGTCCATCGTAGGGCATACTAACTAGCTACGCTCTAGCCTCAAGCTTAGCCCATCTTCTAACTATTTGTCAAACATGAAGCTTCAGATAACTTTGTGATCCAGAGTTTAGGGACAAAGGTTTGATGATTCTTACGTTTTCTTAGAAAGTCTTTTTTGATGCAGACTATATGAACACTAACTTAGGGAACAGGTAAACCTTTTTGTTATGTTGTTTTTAATTCACACAAGTCACAAGTCTTAAAATATGTTCTGGCATTCAGGATACCTATCAACTTTATTAATTTCACTATTTTTACCCGTAGTAATACTATGTTTTTGTTGTTACTTTTTTGCCTTAATATTGTCCACACGTTCTCTATTGGTCTGCAGACCATTCAAGATCAGTCCCATACCGTCTTCTTCCACAGCCATGCCTTAATGATATGTGCAGAGTATGCCGTTGTTTCAAGTTGTAAAAAATGCATGGATGTACCAAGAATATGGATTTTCTATGTCATCACAACTTTTTCAGATTGGGGTTTGCACCTTCTGTTAAGTACCGTCCATTAAGGTCTTGAGGAGAGAGGGAGGAAGCAACAATAACCAGTCTGGAAGAAAAAAGAATGTCAAACAAATCATCATGGTTAATGATAAGCTTGTACCATAAATAGAGTTAACACAATAGTTACAATGCCACAATATCCATGAGAACAAGAAAGAAGGGTCACAACCCCGACTGACCACTGACAGGAATAAAAGCATAAAAAAACAAATAAACCTTTTGTGCTTATCGGCCCACACTACTCAGTTGCAGCAGCAAACCTCCTCACTTTTACTGCAGCTCATAAACCCGCAACACACACACTGGTGGAAGAAAACGCCACAGTCCTCCCAAACTCCCCAAACTTTGACCAAATACAGGACTTGTACACATACCCACTTGATAAATCCACCCCTACCTCCCACTTATAATGTTCAAAGGCTAATCACTCACTGCACCCATGTGCAGACAGGGGAAAATGAGCTGCAAGATTGACCTTGAAATGGAAAGAGAACACCACATACACATCCCCACAGTATGTAACACCTTTTCATAACTTGTAAGTGACAAGAAAATGGATGCAGTTCGAAACACATCTATTGGTGAGCTGTCCACTTGCTATTTCAAACACAATTTATGTGATACTATCTGGAACACACTTCATGGAGTTAAAACCTTTTTTTTATTACAATATGACCTCTGGCCTATAGAAATTAATACGGTGACTGTGGATGGAGAAATATTTTGATTATGCTTCTTTATGCTTCTTTACCCTGAATGTTGGTATGAAATTCTGTATAATGGAAAACATGTCGTAAAAAAAAACAACCTTAAACAATATATTTGATTTCATTGGAACTTTAAATCTAATGTCTAGACTTCTTTTAACTGCAACTTTGTTTCCAACTGCTCTTCAGAAATCTAGTTATACCCCAGATGAAAAACATTATAGTGCATTTCCCAGAGTGGACATATATAGCACAGAGGAGTCAGTGTGTGCTGTAGAGTTGGCTAGCTAGTATAAAAAGCAAGTTTCTGGAAAAAAATAAAGAACAGAGATTGAACTATGATAGGTCAAAATGAAATATTTCGCAATCAAGATATTTCTCAGAACAACATACTGTAGGCTGTAACATTTTATACAAAAATATAAGCCAATGATATGACACAGTATTTGATAAGATAACCTCTTTTTTAAATTAATTTACACTGTATAATTGAGGACAAAGTCTGATAACAGATTCTCAGTGAAGAGTCAAGATCTGTGACATGGAATAATCCTCTATATAAAATATGAGGCAATGATAAGCCTGAAATACTGAACTTAATGTTTGTTGTGTGGTTAAAAAGGTAAATTAGAGAACATAACAGTGACTTTAGAGAACATAACAGTGACTTTAATCTATTCTACGTGTTGCTGTGTTGGCTGCCTCTCTCTGCTCCCTCTGTCCTTGTCTCGCCCTCTCTCTCTCTCTTGCTCTCTCTTTCCCCTCACCCCCAACCGGCCGAGGCAGATGGCCACCCACCCTGAGCTATGGTTCTGCTAAAGGTTTCTGCCTGTTAAAAGGAAGTTTTTCTTTGCCTGTGTCGCCTAGTGCTTGCTCATGGTGGGAATTGTTGGGTTTCTGTAATTAACTTCAGAGTAGGGTCTGTCCTACTCTGTTTGGAAAGCGCTGTGAGACAACTGTTGTTGTGATGTGGCGCTATATAAATAAAATTGAATTGAATTGAAATTGAATTTAAATTCACTGACTGCTTAATACTGGTCTCTAAAAACCCAAGCAACATGCTTTCGTGACAACTGGTGCTTTAAACATACCCAACATGTGTTTGTCCCAGTAAAGATTGTTCTGTTTTACATATACAGGTCACTTGCACCAGATGTTATTGTACCAAGAAGCTAGTTAATGTGTGCCCGCAGAAAGTTTTCAGTGAAAAAATGTCTCCATTCTGGTTTACTTATTAGCTGCTGGTCATAGGTTCAGTCCTGTGTCGGATGTTCCAGCTCCCAAAGTTATTTCAGTTTCTTGAGACAGTACCCGTGTTAACTAGAAGCCCTATATCAGAGAAGGACCTTTCATCACTCTCGAGGGATTA